AAAAAAAAAAAAAAAAAAAAAAACATTAAGCCTGCATCCCACCTGTAAGGACTCTGTTCTGTTTGGATGGATCATGGCCATGAAGGATTTTACTCTTGGATGATTTTTTTTTTTTGAGCTGGGGATCAAACCCAGGACTTCACACATGTTAGAGAAACACTTTGCCACTGAGCTTCACTGTCAACCCAGATGAATATAATGTGCAATCAGGATTGAGAGCCCTACACTAAATTGCCATAGAGTTTCATGCATTGAACCTAAATGTAGTCCCTTGGGTAGATGTCTATTGCTGAAGAAGAAAAATAAATATTAGTTTGAAAAATCATTTTAGTAGAAAGCTAAATAGGCTGATTCCTTCTTTATTTTATGAAGCTCAAGCTGGTATTGAACTCACTATGTTGCCTGGGGTTCCCTCATACTCACGTAAATTCATCTGCTTCAGCTTCCACAGTGGTGGAATTACAGGCATGTGCCATCCCACTCAGCTCCAAATAGGCTGATTTGTATGTAAGGTGAGGCTTTAACTCAAGAAAATAGTATCTGTAAATACACAGGCTAGACGAAACTGGGATAAAAGCATTCATTTGTTATTAATGCAAAGGATTACACAAAACAAGAAACAAATGTCTGAGTTCAACCATGTAAGCTCAACTAAGAAGCTTTATGACAAAATTGAAAGGAGTTTCCTTTGCAATGGAAAACTGACTTTTGGGTATCAAGTTAACAAGAAGCATAATATCAACTTGATTGACTTTAGGATTTACCTGAAGGATTGATGAAACACCCTTTTTGGTCATGGCTGGTGGGTCATGGAGATGTGGCCTTGGGATCTAGAGCTGGTTCCTTGCCCATTTCCCTACGGTGTTGTTTCCCTACTCTGGTTCCTGGGCACACAAAAGAAGAACTGTGTTCCACCATCCCCTTGCACCATGACATTGGAGCCTACTAACCATGTGCTGCTAAGCTGAAACTGAGAGTAAAAGTAAAGCTTTTCTCTGTTAAGCTGTAGGTGGCAGGTATTGTCTCCCAGCAACAGGAAAACCACTGAGCACAGCTGACTGTTAAGAGCAGTGGACAAAACAAATGTCATCCTTTGTTCCAGAACTGAGACGACTCCCCAGTAAATTTCCATTGTTTTACTTACAATGGCCAGGGAGTGTTAACATTACAATGGCATTTTGGAAAACACAATAAAAATCAATACAATATTTTTTTAGTGTTTGCAAAATATATCATTTAATATTTGTATATGCCTTTTAGATGCCAGGGATGTTAAAACAATGGCAGATACCTTCCTAACTTGGTACAAGGACAACTTAAGGTTACAAGTCACTCCACCTCTGATCCATTTCCCATGTTGACAGAGCTTTCTAAAGTACAATTGTGTTCTTGTCTCTCCTCTAACTCAGACCTTTGTTGATTCTCCATTACCTCCCTACAAGACTCCATTGCCCACTTCCAGCCTGCTCTCTCCTCATAGCCCTACTGTTTCTTTGTTCTAACCATTCAGTTTATCAGATAGTCCTGCTATGCAGCCTTTGTGATTTTTTTTCTGCTAAGGTTATGCTCAGTTCTCCTAGTTCTGGAGAAACTCAGCACATCTTTCAAGATTCAATTCAAAGTAACTTCAATTTAAAATGTTTCTGTGACCCATCTATACCTTTTGAGCCCACCTGCTCCCAATAACATAGCACCTTACTGTTGGTCACACCTATATATACATCTGTCTAACTTTCCCATTTATAATTTGAGCCCTTTGATGGAAGAGACAGTATTTATCTATTTGTACATTCAATGTTTACAAGAGTAATTGGTATAAAGTAAATATCTACATGTTTTATTAAGTTAAAATGTATGAAATTATTGAATGAATGAAGTTATCTTTTCATCAGTTAGCTTCCTTTGACATTTTTATCTCTAGTAACACATGTATATATACACTCCGGAAAGAAAAGAAAGGCAAAAGGTAGCCAGAGTGGGCGAATGTGATCATTCTGTGTCGGTATGGCTGTCTGTCTTTCTTACCATTGATGTTCTGTGTCCAGTGGATGAGGGCATAGGGGAGGGGCTGTTTTCCCGGTGCGGCAAGTCCACGCAAGAGCTATTCAGAGAAGTAGAGCTTCTTGAGTCACTGTGCAGCTGTCCCTTCTCAGACACCCATCTGGAAAGAAAACTAGCCTTGCGACTGCCTGGGTAAGATCTTTCTATCCAGACCCCACTCTCTCTCACACTGCCATCACTGTCTCTGCAGTGACGGTGCAAATCGGTGACAGGTTCACCTGAGGGTGCCAAGTCCGGGGATTGTTCGCACGTTCCTAATTTATAGGATGGACAGTTTCTAGAGGCCATTACCGTCTTTCCGTTCTGTAGACCAGAGGAGGAATTGTTTGGTTGCTGTCCCGGGTGCTGAATGTTGGCATTGCCATTCTGGAGGCTTGGGCTGTGGAACTGGAGCTGTCCGCTGTGCTGATCCATCTCAGGCCATTCTTTTTTGCTATAGGAAAAATCAACCTCAAGTTGCCTGGGCTGTGGGATATGCCACATGGTTTTAGACTTTGGAACATTGACGTGGGTGACCTGATGTTGGTAGTTGTTGGCTAGAAGTAAAGAAGTTCTTTCAGGTAAGGAAGAGCAAATCGTACACTGCTGGGTCCCTGAAGACTTCAAATGGAAAAGAGGACCTCTTTCATTCTCAATGTCCCCACTGCTGGATTGATCATAAAGTGCCCTCATGATTTTTCTGATGCCCAGATGGAATATTTCCAGTATATTAAGTAACAAGGAGATGGCTGCAATGCTGTACATAAAGAGCATGAAAATGGTCTTCTCTGTGGGTCTAGATACAAAACAATCCACTGCATTGGGGCAAGGAGGTTGGGTGCATTTGTAAAGGGGTTGTATCTGAAACCCATACAGAATATATTGGCCTATCATAAACCCCACTTCTAGCACAGATCTGGTCAAAATGTGTAAAACGTATGTACGCAGCAGACATCCTTTCAAAGGGACTTTATGGATCCTCTTCTGCTCCTCCAACCTCCTCAGTTCCCTATCTATCCTTTGTTGCTCCTCCAAGTCAAGCTCTGGATTCTCCATCTGGGCTCTGAAGTGTGACTTTTTCCTCTGTCTCTCTTTCTCAAAGTCTCTGAGTCTGTAAAGGGCATGACCCATGTACACCAGAGAAGGAGATGACACAAAGATGATCTGTAAAACCCAGAATCTGATCAAAGAGATAGGGAAAGCATCATCATAGCAGATGTTGTTGCAACCTGGTTGCTGAGTGTTGCAGGCAAATGCTGACTGTTCATCATCCCAGACATCCTCGGCAGCCACACCAAGTACCAACATTCGGAAGATGAAGAGGATGGTCAGCCAGATTTTCCCCACGATGGTTGAGTAGGAGTGAACTTCCTCTAGAATGCCACCCAATAAGTTCCAGTCACCCATGGTTAGAAATTAATGCCTGAAATATACAGAAAGCACTGAAGTTAATATACATATGGACATAATGTACAAGAATAAGAAAACATACTTATAAACATAGTAGGGATTTTTTTTCAGCAAAATTATCAAGGGTTTCCAGCCCTAACATTTCTGATCCATGGTGAATGAAATAAGATGTGTCCAAGGAATATCAGTTTAAAAAAAAACTGATGTGTTTACTTCTTACCCTCTTCTAGTCTCTCTCACTGTTGCCTGTCATTCCAGGCAGGAACTGATTCATTAACACAGTCTTTATACTTTCACAATGTGATCTCATTCCACAGTTTTGTTTATTTTTCAACTTATAGGAAATGCACTTTACCATACATCTAATATGATCTTAAATAAATCTCAACTCCTCAGGAATTTTCCCCTAACCACCCCAAGTTAGTTATTTTTCCTTTCCTAAGTTCTTACAACCATTCATCTGGCACTGTGTTTAGATGAGTTTTTTTTTTTGTTTGTTTGTTTTTGTTTTTTTGTTTTGTTTTGTTTTGTTTTTTTTCACGCTCAACTTGGGATAGCTTTATTCTACAGTTCAAGGAAAACATTTTGTTCTATATAGGCTAGTTTGATTAGAATTTGTACACTTCCTTATTCAGTTACATATAAAAATGCGTATGGAGAAAACGTGTAAACGGGTGCTGGGATCTGCGTACAAGATCAAAGTCTATAGCAAAAGCCGGTCCTTGTCACAGTGTTTCCGGCTACCTTGACCCTATCAAAGTGTTACATTTTTTTTTCAGTGATTCTAAATTTCATATAAAACTCAGCTTTTGTTTTCTTCTGTTTCAAGATAAATACACTTTTTCTTTAATTTTTTAATTATATAAGAAATATAAGGACCATAAAAATTCCTGCATTTGGTTAGTTAAGACAGAACCATGAAATTCTCTCCAAAGATCTACTTTAACACGTTATCATGTGTTTTCTTCTAAAAAGTTACATATATTTTTCAGCAAAGATTTATGATTCATAAGAACTTTAAAAAAAAAAATCACCCGTCGTATTTTCAAGCCTTAGCATGATTTTCAATTGCTCAGAAATGTAAGAACATATTGATGTTACTTGATTTTATTGACCCATCATCTGTCTACTTTTCTGTCAGTAGATATAATTTTTCAAAACAGTAGTCAACTCTCATTCTGTTCTGTCTTTCAATATCATCAACCTTTTCAAGGCAACGGATATTGCACCTTGTACCAAAGAGTGTTTGAATTTCAGAATCTGGAACATAAAATGGTGGGCCTCTGTGTTTGGTTGGATCGTAAGAGAAAACAGACAAGAGGTAGAGAAACCCTCTTCTCAGTAGGGACAGCACCGCATCAGTGTAGCGTCCACGGTCACTGGGGTTCACAGCGACTAATGCTCCTCGGTCCCAGATCCTGTCAAATTTACCAATATTTGCTCTGGGAAGATCGAAAATGCTGCAGCAGTACAGTGAGATGTTCCCTGAAGAACTCTTAAATACTTTTGCTCCAGGAATTTCAGGGATCGGTTCTTCTGAGTAAGAAAGTTTCTGCTCCGTAAAAAACTCGCGTATCCCAAGTTCACTGATTTCGACACCAGCTACAGTGTGTCCCAGGTCTGCGAACCACTTCATCTCCACTGCTTTCCCACAAAGAGGAAAAAACACTCTCAGTCCTCTCTTGCCTTGAAGGAATGTGTTCAAATGCTTCTTTAATAGCTGATGTCCTTCTGCTTGATGAAATCCAATGTCGCGCTTCACCCACTTGTCTTGCCACTCTTCCAGGGTCATGACATGACTCTTCTGTGCCTCGCCGTCAGGGTACTCTTCAGTATCGAGGGAAGTCCTTGACTCATTCATGGCTTTGCAGATACTGCTGTCTTACAGGCAGAAACCTCCAATGTCTCGCCGATCGCCCCACTTCCAGCCACTGCCCTAGATGAGTTTTGTAATGTTTGTGCTTCATGGGCCCTTACCAGATGGCAACTTTTTATAGCATCTTCATCTTCCTAGAGAGAAAGTATCAATATATAATAGCTAATTGAAATGAAATATCTTCTCTGTTTAAACTGTGGCTCCTTGATTGTATCAGCGAAATAACTACCTATAGGAGAAGCAAAGTAGAGCCTCATGATATATTATTTATGGCTTTTAAAGTAATATAAAATATAAATAAGTAATTCTGCCAAGGAAGCCCTAAGGAATTGGCTCAGATCAGGATAACAGTAAAGATTGGGCAGACACAGAAACAATAACAAGGGGCCGGGGAGATGGCTCAGTAGACTAAGCACTTGCCTGGCAAGCACAAGGGCCTGAGTTCAATCCCTGGTTCCGAAAAAAAAAAAGAAAGAAAGAAAGAAAGAAAGCAAGCAAGCAAAAGAAAAAAAACAATAACACCTATAGCTCATGGTTATGTTCACTAAGTTACATCTGGGACATGATATCTTCATGGAAATGTTTGATAACTCAGAAGGAAAGTGACTAGAAACTGCTACTCTATCAATGGGATCTAGGAAAAAATTAACACATGGGTGCTGTGAAGAGTTTGCTTGGTTTACCCTAAAAAAATTATGTTTTTCAAGATTTGTTGAAGTTAAATACTTGGTAGGTAAAAGATTTCTAAGAAGTGGAAAATTTCCAGATATAAAAGATTTAGAGAGGCTGGGGAGATGGCTCAGCGGAATA